GCGCAAGGACGTCGGATTGATGACTTTTAGAGTCCTATCTTAGGTTCCAATTACATGATTTATTTGCTACTTTATAGCCATCCTGCTCCTGAGTGGACACACACTTATATGTCTTGTATGGCAGTGGCCCCCAACCTTTTTTGTGCCACGGCCTGGTAACGGCATCACAAAATGATCCGCAGCCCGGTACCGGCATCAGCATGCATGACAAGGCAAGGCGAGCCGAGCGACCGGCCAGCCAGCCGTCCCCTGCTTCTCCCCGCCACCTTCAACTCCTCCTTTGTACCTTTTTTGTGCTTTTTTTATCTCCTCCGCCATCGGGACGGCTCTTCGTTCGAAGCCGCCCCCCCCCCTTCGATGAAACTAAGGTGCGAGGATTCCTTCAGGACCCAAACGCTGCTTTCCAACCGGAAAAGCTCACCTGGAAGCACTTTCTGTCGAAACAAGATGGCGGCGCCTAAGCAAACCGGCGGCCCGGTAGAAAATGATCCACAGACCGGTACCGGTCCGGGGCCCGGTGGTTGGGGACCCCTGTTATATGGGACGTGCAAAACCTACCATTCTAGGAACCAGAGACTCAATTGTTATGAAATTTGATTCTTTGATCTCCAGAATGGTGGTTGTTGGATATCCTCTATATCTCATTTTCTCTCTGTGTGTAATTTTGTGTTTGTATGCATGCATGTGTGCATGCATGTGTGTGTGTGTGTGTGTGTGTGTATTAAGGGATCTATCTATCTATCTATCTATCTATCTATCTATCTATCTATCTATCTATCACCTATCTATCATCTATCTATCTACTTATCTATCATCTATCTATCTACTTATCTATCATCTATATCTATCTGTCATCTATATCTATCATTATCTATCACTCTATCTATCATCTATTTGTTTATTTATTTCATTAGATTTTTACCCAGCCTTATAAGTAATTCAGAGTGGCGAACATACTTAATACTCCTTCCTCCTCTGATTTTCCTCACAACAACAACCCTGTGAGGTCGGCTGGGTTCAAAGAGAGTGACTGGCCCCAAAATCACTTAGCCGAGTTTCATGGCTAAGGCAGGATTAGAACTCAAAGTCTCCAAGAGGCTTTCATGCCTCAGACAGGACTAGAACTTACTGTCTTCCGGGTTCTAATCTGGTGCCTTAACCACTAGGCCAAACTGGTGTTTTTTTTTAAAACTTATAAAATCTTTTCTTACCAGAAAACAGAAATCTATATGGTTACTCCGTTTCATTCTGAGAACAACACCGTGAAGTGAGTTACATTCCATGTTCCTAGAGGAGAAGATAAGATAATAGATTGTGTCCTCTAGAGAAAAAGTCCTATTACACCATTCTGTTTAGGCATGGAAAAGGACTGAAATCAGCGTGAGAATATCTTTCCAGACTCCTTGTAAATACATCAAAATCCCTCTTGCAGTTTCTCAGGAGTGTTTTTTTCCCCTTTTTCTACCTTTTCTCACACTAATAAAGGAGAATATTAGTACTTGGGGTTGAAATGAGGGATCCTTGACCAGTGGTGGGATTCAATTTTTTTTTACTAGCGGTTCTGTGGGCGTGACTTGGTGGGCGTGGCTTGGTTGGCATGGCAGGTGAAGAATACTATAAAATATCCATTCCCAACCCACTCCAGAGGAAGGATACTGTAAAATCCGCATTCCCTCCCCACCCCACTAACCTGCTTTCCAGCTCCGTTCTCCTGTGCAGGGCAACCAAAGAAGACCCAGCCGATCAGCTAGGACTTGGGAGGCAGAGAATAGATGGGGTCAGTCAGAGGTGGGATTTGCCCATTCTCCAAACTACTTTAAATTTCCGCAACCAGTTCTCCAGAACTGGTCAGAACCTGCTGGAAACCACCTCTGATGCATATGCAAGTAGATAAATAGGTAGCACTTTGGTGGGAAGGTAACAGCATTCTGTGATGTCATGCTGGCCACATGACCTGGGAAATGTCTTCAGACAGCTTTGGCTCAATGGCCTTGAAATGGAGATGAGCAGAATAAACTCTGCAGGGACTCTACTCCTTCCATTTCTGTGGGAGAGAATAAACACATAACACAAAAATCATAGACCATTTTTCTCTGTTATTTACACATTCAGGATCTCCCGAAGGTGATGAAGAAATTAAGTGCCTTCCTAGGGCTCAACCCCACTGAGAGTCAGATGTATGAAATCTGCAAAAAGTCTTCCTTCAATGAGATGAAAACCAATACAGAAAAGGAAAATTCTGATCAAAACCACACAGTCTGTGTACTCACTTCCAACCGGAAATTGATATTCCGAAAAGGTAATTTGAAGAGAGAATTCTATTCTATTCTATTCTATTCTATTCTATTCTATTCTATTCTATTCTATTCTATTCTATTCTGTTCTGTTCTGTTCTGTTCTGTTATGTTCTATTCTATATTCTATTCTATTTTATATTCTATTCTATTTTATGTTCTATTCTATATTCTATTATATTCTATTTTCTATTCTATTGCTACTCTATTCTATTCCTATTCTATTCTATTCCTACTCTATTCTATTCTATTTTATATTCTATTCCTATTCTATTCTATTTTATATTCTATTCTATTTTATATTCTATTCTATATTCTATTCTATTCTATTTTCTCTTCTCTTCTATTTTCTATTCTATTCTATACTCTTCTTTTTTCTATTCTGTTCTACAGAGAGATGCTGCTGTACTTTCTCATTATTTGAACACAAAGACTTTCAAAAAGATACCAGATTGATTTTCTGAATCCATTCCTTAATATCAGTCAAAATCAAGATCATGTGAGGTACTAATACCACTCTATAAAGCCTTAGTAAGACCACCCTTAGAATACTGCACCCAGTTTTGGTCACCACACTATAAAAAAGATGTTGAGACTCTAGAAAGATTGCAGAGAAAAGCAACAAAGATGATTAGAGGACTGGAGGCTAAAACATATGAAAAACGGCTGCAGGAACTAGGCATGGGTAGTCTGGTGAAGAGAAGGACCAGGGGAGACAGGTTAGCAGTGTTACAATATCTCAGGGGCTGCCACAGAGAGGAGGAAGGGGTCAACCTGTTTTCCAAAGCACCTGAAGGCCAGACAAGGAATAATGGATGGAAACTGAACAAGGAGAGATTCAACCTGGAAATAAGGAGAAATTTTCTGACAGTGAGAACGATCAACCCATGGAACAGAAGTTTTTCAGAAGTATGGGAGCGTCATCTCTTTCAAGAAGAGACTGGACTTCCATTTGTCAGAAACGGTGTAGGGTCTTCTGCTTGGGTGTAGAGTTGGACTAGATGACCTATAAAGTCCCTTCCAACTATGTTAATCTCTCTCTGTGTTAATATCAGGAGAACATGGTTACTCTCCATTTATGTAATCAAACCAAATCAAATATCTTTATTACAGTCTTTGACCAACATTTACATTTATGAAAATATGTAAAACAATCCTCTTTGTCCTACAAAACATTCAAACCTGTCCTCTTTCTGTGCTTCCAAATGCTTCCCAATTTTTCCCCTCATGCCTCCACATATGGCGATCTTTTTATGGGAACGACTTGAGAAAAACTATCCTTCCTCATGTCTCATCATTTCCTAGGTACCGTTGGTGACTGGAAGAATCACTTCACTCCAAAACAGAACCAGCTGTTTGAAGAGACATTTAAGAAGAAAATGACATTCAGCGAAGTGGCGAAACATCTCGTTTATGAATGTTGACCCGGAAACAAACCCTGTATTGGAATATGTTTAAAAGACTAATATTTTTCACATTGGATAGACTCGTTTTCTTCCAAAGAGAAAGATGAGGAAGACACATGAGGGATTTGTGAAGAAATTCTGCTCTTGAGGATTGCAGCTGATCCATTCTGTTCTCCTTACTTCTGTTTTCTATCCCATCTCTTATAACAATCAATTCGGTGTACCCTAACGAATACGCAGGTTCAGTTTTCACTGAAGTATTTTGCTTGTGACTCCTTAATGATCATTACCTTCTTGTTTCTGTTGGTTTAGTTTGGCTCTGTAAGCCCACAAGCTTCTTGACACCTTCCCTGTTATGTGTAGACAGTGCTGTTCTTCCTATTGTACATAAGGAACCACCATTATAGGCCTGAAACAGGCAAAAACATTGTGATGATGGGGTGTTGATAATCTCTGTGAGGGAAATTCAAGACTTTTGTTTTGCTTTTCTGATGAGGAAGTTCAGTGACAGAGACACACTTGTTCTCCCCTTGTGCACTTCCTTTTCCCAGAGATTTATAGATTTGTAGAAGTAGCTCATTGAATCAGAAGTGTACTATTTAATGAACAATGAATAAATGAACATAAATGAACAGTGAAAGGACCTGCAAGGATCTTTAGTCCAACTCTCTGCTCTGTGCGGGAAATTCAATTAAATTGAATTTTCCAACCTCAGCAAATTTACAACGTGAGCACTTCAACTCCCAGAATTCCCCTGCCAATCTGGTGGCTGAGGAATTCTGGGAGTTGAAGTCCACCCATTTTAAAGTTGCCACGGTTGGAGTCACCTTTAAGAGACTGCTGTCCAGCAACCTCTTAAATTTTTTTTCTAAAGATCAAGAGCTGTAAATACTATAAGTACAATTTTCTACTGTTGTACAATTCTTATCGTCGTTCCCTGAAAAATTCACTTGTTCGATTGTGCACAAAATCAATGTCATTCTTGCAATGAGTAAAATGTATGCCTATTTGACAGCACAAATCAAAGCCAACGTGTTGTAATTGTTAATTGTAAACCTCTGGCTTTAATATGAGCTTTAAGTTCTCTTAACATGTTGTAATTGTTAACATTTTTTGAGGTGGGGAATCCTAATAGTAGTGTTGCATGACGACCTCTGGGTTTAATATGAGATTCAGATTCTCCTTTGAAGATAATTTGATTCAATATTCAATGCCACCAAGAAGAGGGAGTCAAGCTATTCTCCAAAGCACCTGAAGGCAGGACAAGAAGCAATGGATGGAAACTAATCAAGGAGAGAAGCAACTTAGAACTAAGGAGAAATTTCCTGACAGAGCAATTAATCAGTGGAACAACTTGCCTCCAATAGTTGTTGGTTCTCCAACACTGGGAGTTTTTAATGAAGAGATTGGACAATGCTTTGTCTGAAATGGTATAGGGCATCTTGCCTAAGGAGGGGGTTGGATTAGAAGTCCTCCAAGGTCCCTGCCAACTCTGTTATTCCATTCCATTCCACAATCTCCTTCTTGGTAAATAAAATTGAATCTTGAAAGAATTAGAACAGACCAAAGGATTTCTTTTTAACATGGCACGTAATTAAATTTTGGATTTGTGCCATAAGATAAGGTGATTGGCTGATTGTAGAAAGAGTGAGACCAAGCTGTGGGATATGGGACTTTTGGTCTTCATGGCAGTGGGGCTGCCTCTGAAGGCCATCTGTTGGGAAACCAGGGGGCTTCCTTGTGCTGTTGGTTGGTCACCCTGAAGAGCAGACTGGTGGACTAGACGGGTCAGGGCTAATTCAAAGGAAAAGACACACCTCACACAGCTCCCTGAAATGATGGTGCTCTATTCTTAGGGACAGATAAGACACCCAACCATCAATAACAGAATAAAGAGTTGGAAGGGACCTTGGAGGCAGGGGTGGGATTCTACCAGTTCGCACCTATTCGCTAGAACCGGTTGTTAACATTCTAAGCAGTTCAGAGAACCAGTTGTTAGAAGAAATTACTGGCCTAATCCTGTAAGGAAGGCAGGAAGGAAACATTCTGGTGTTGCTTACAGAAACTGCCTCTCCGTTAAACCTTATTACATTCTTGGCAGGACTAGACTTCCTGTCTCAGGAACTTCTCTGGAGTTTTTCCCCCCTCCTTTGCTGGTACTTTGCTTGTGTTCAGTGACCATTCAAAGTTACAATGGCACTGAAAAAAGTGACTTATGACCATTTTTCACACTTATGACTGTTGCAGCATCCCCACAGTCACGAAGAGGCCAAGGGAGGAGATGCATGCCTCGATGTGAGTGATGTTGAGTTGGCCACGCCCAGCCAGTCACATGACCACCAAGCCACGCCCACCAACTAAGCCAAGCCCACAGAACCGGTTGTTAAAAAATTTGAATCCCACCCCTGCTTGGAGGTCTTCTAGTCCAAACTCTCACTCAGACAGGAGATACTACAATCATTCAGACAAATGGTTGTCTAATCTCTTCTTTAAAATCTCCAGTGTTGGGGCACCCGTAACTTCTGGAGACAAGCCGTTCCACTGACCGATAGTTCTCACTGTCAGGAAATGTCTCTTTAGTTCTAAGTTGGATCCCTCCTTGGTTAGTTTCCATCCTTTGCTTTGGAGAATAGGTTAAACACACCCCTCTTCTTTGTGGCAGCCCCTTAGATATTGGAACATTGCTACCAAGTCACCCCCCACTCCTTCTTTTCATTCAATTAGACATGCCCCATTCCTGAAACCATTCTTCATATTAGCCTCCAGTCTCCTAACCAGCTGGTTCAGACCGGTTCGCACGAACCGGAGGTTAATTTAATGTCTGGTTCGGTGAACCAGTAGTTCCGAGGACCAGTTGGCCCCCCCTCCACCCCTCCCAGGAGTCTCCTTGCAGCCCGTTTTGGATCCCAGGTAAGTGCAGGGGGCGCATGGAGCCCGGGGGGGGGGGGGTGAAAAATGGGCCTCCTGGAATTTCCGGAAGTCTGGAAATGGGCTTGTTTCCAGCCTCTGGGGGGCTTCCGGAGCCCGGGGAAAAGCCGTTTTTGCCCTCCTGGAGGCTCAAGGAAAGCCTCCAGAACCCGGGGAGGGTGAAAATGCCCCACCCCCAATGATGCAGGAGGCCAACTAGTCCAGGGGTCCCCAACCGCCGGTCCGCGGACCGGTACCAGGCCGCGGAACAAGCCTTACCGGGCCGCTGGTTGCTGGGCGCCGCCATCTTTTTTTGGTAAAAAAGCGCTTCTGGTGAGCTTTTCCGGGTAGAAAGCCATTTCTACCCGAAAAAGCTCACTGGAAGCGCTGGCGCCGCCATCTTTTTTGACGAAACAGCGCTTCCGGTGACGTCACCGGAAGCGCCTTTTCGTCATAAAAAGATGGCGGCGCCCAGTTGACGCCGGTACCGGGCCGCGGCGCCCAGCTGATGCCGGAACCGGGCCGCGGCGTCGAAAAGGTTGGGGATCCCTGAACTAGTCCACATCCACCATGGCCACACCCAGCCAGCCACCGGGCAGAGAACCGGTTGCTAAAATGTTTGAATCCCAACCCTGCTCCTAATCAATTTTATTGCTCTTCTCTGGACAATTTTTAGAGCCTCAACAACTTTTTAAATATTATGACGACCAAAACGGGATGCAATATTCCAAGCGTGGTCTTACCCAGGGATTCTAAAATGGTATTAACATTTCACATGATCTCAATTCTATCCCTCGGTTAAGGCCACTCACGTCGGCTTTTTTGGCAGCTGCAGCACACGGCTGGCTCATATTTAAGCGATTGTCCATTAGGACTCCATGATCAATCTCAGACGACGCTTTTTTTTTTCTTGCAAATAAACTAAAGTCAAGAATGACCTGGTCCTGCTAAAGGGCAGATGATGAAAATTGCACAAAACCTGGCTCAGCTCCGTTTCTTCACAAAACTTTAAGCTACTTTTTAGCGCCATCTAGCAGTCAAATGGAATGGCAGGCCTATGGTTTTTTTCCCCCCCTTATTCAGACACAGATGGATGGGCACCTATGGGATTATTCTACACAAAAGGCAAAGCAACACATCCCAGCACCAGCCTGAGGATGGTGAGTGGGACCTCGCCGAAACGTCGCCAAGATACTCTTAATCTTACATGGGAAAAGACCTGAACACACCTAGACCTACATACCTGTACCCGTGAAAACCTACGAAAATATACATACATCAATTACATTTACATTTTGCATTGTCTTTTATTCCTGTTATCTAACCAAACGTACCATTTCTCCCAGACCGTATATTCTTTTTCTTCCTTCTCCTGCAATTCCATTGTAAGTTTATTCATTTCTGCACAATCCATTTTTTTTTATTAGCATATTATCTGTGGGACTACTCTCTGATTTCCAGTTTTGAGTATATGTTATTCTAGCTGCTGTCAATGTATGTATTGTTATGTATTCAATTTCTTTCTTGTAATCACATCCAATTATCCCTACATTTCAGGTTTAGGTTCTATTCCCCCCCCTCCCCCCAGTTATTTTCTCTCCTCTCCTTTCATTGTGGCATGATTTTCAATTCTGGGCCAGAAAAACAACATCTACCGCAGGCCTAAGGAAACTTGTAAGTCTATTTCAAAGTCATAAATTGGCTCTTACAACACACTCGAAGTGGTCACTGAACCAACCAACCAGACTTTCTGAGTTGATGAGACCAAACAGATCGGATTGGCAGAACACGCTGGGCCAAATACGAGGACTCCTCTCGACTTACAACCACAATTGAGCCCAAAATGTATGTTGTTAAGTGAGACATTTGTCAAGTGAGCTTTGTCCTACTTTACGAACTTTCTTGCCACAGTTGTTAAGTGAATCGCTGCAGTGGATATGTCAGCAGACATGGTTGTGACGTGAATCTGGCTTCCTCATTGATTTTGTTTGTCAGAAAGTCACAAAAGGGGATCATGTGACCCCGGGGGACACAGCAACCATCACAAATATGAGTCAGTGGCCAAGCGTCTGGATTTTGATCACGTGGGACCATGGGGATGTTACAAAGGTTGTAAAACAGTCATAACTCACTTTTCGGTGCCAATGTAATCTCAAACATCCTGTCATGCCCCTGTCAGAGTCTGAATCCAAGGAGGAAGCCGAACAGCTGACAGGGAGTGGGAGTGTGGCTCGTTGGCTATGGAGGAAACTGGGGAAGGGCAAAGTCCCGCTAAACAGAGAAGGGGAGAGGTAGAACAAGGGAGAGGGAGTTCAGAGGAAGACTCAAGCCCATCCCCTCTTCATCCTAGGGCACGCAGGGAGGAACAAAGAGAGCAACGTGGGTTGCATGGCTTACGGGGGAGGAAAGGGCCCTGATTCCCTTCATTAGCCACAGCTGGGAAGACAGTTTATCAGAAAGGCAGGCTGTGTGTGGCAGGCTGCTGAGAGCAAACGTGACTTTATCTTGTGTTGTTGTTGCTTATGTGTTCCTGGCTTCTTCCCAATCATGTGAGTTTTGCCATGTCTTCAAGTCTGGAACTCTTGCTTCTGCCCTGCCAGAAGGTAACCTGGACATTGGGGGCAAAGTTGGAGATAATAAAGGGACTCCAGGCATGATATTCCCCTCTGAAAAAAAAATCGGGGCCGGCCAAAAGAGAGCCCCCCACCGCGTGCCAAGAAATCGCTGCCCAGCTCCCTTTTCCTGCCGCTCAGCAGCCTCCGCTCGCACCGCCCGCCCGCCCGCCCAGGCTCCGCTCGCACCGCCCGCCCGCCCGGGCTCTGCTCAGGTATCTGGCTGGGGCTGTCAGGAGTTGCTACCGCTGGCGCGGCTCCGCTTGGCTCCAGTCCCGCGTTGCCTCCGGAAGGGAAAGGCAAAACCAGGAGCTGCTGCTGCCGTTGCAAAGCGCCGCCGCGGCTCTTCCTTTTTGCCTTTCCCTTCCTGAGGCAACGCGGGACTGGAGCCACGCAGAGCCGCGCCAGCGGTAGCAACTCCTGACTCGGGGCCTCCGAGGGGAGGGGAAGGAGGAGAAGAAGGGGGGAAAGGGGGGGGCGATTCCCAAAAAAATCGGAATTCCGATTTTAATCGGAAGAATATCATGTCTGAGGGACTCTTATTGATTATCTGTGTTGCCTTTGTGCCATATCTGATTGTGTTGCCTTTGTGTCATCAAACATCCATTAAACTAATGGTTATAAGTTGAGGACTAATGCAGCAGCCCTATCCCTTAAACTTATTGTGTGAACACAACCTTAAACATGTGATTGGTTCCCACCAAGGTGGACATTTCAATACTGGAGGATTATCATAAATAGGAAGCTGAGATGGAAGCAGAATCTGTCACATGCAAGGACTCTGCAACACACAGCAAATTACTCATCACCCGTTACTCATCTTGCGGTATTGGTTTCCACTGAAAAGAAAGAAGAGCACCAATACAGTTTTCCAAGTTTTTTTTTATTCTTGAATCTTAAAAAAAATAAAGCCCATTTGATTACATTTTATTCACACTTATAAATAATCAACAAGACAAATCAGTAAAGAGTATTGGAACAGAAGTCCTTTATTTATAGTTCCCAGAAAATGCACCGAACCTCAGCATCTGGCAGAAGAGGTATTTGATAGTCTGATGTTTTATATATATATATTTATATTTCGTATTTATAAACCAATGGCAATCTCTTGACCATTTTTCTCCCCTCGAAAACTGTCTTCAGGTGATTTGAGTCCTGTGTATCTTATTTCAAAGTTCTGTTTCATCCTTCTAATCTAAATACCAGCTATTCAAGCATATTGGGATATTCCTTCATCCAGCATTAATATATTATTACCAATTTGGCTCTTTTTCCCCAGTCCAGAGTTCACCAGATCTCTTTTGGAGAGGCAATTGATTTTGCATATTAAAGTGAAAGATAAAACAAGGGTGAAAAATGGGTGAGAAAATTATTTGGCCAAAAGTGCATTTTCAAAATGGTTTCAAGGCAAAAAACTTGGATTCACGTATCCTATTGTGGATGGTGGGTGTTGCTTCAGTGTTATAGAAACCTTGCCTATTGTGGGTTTAAAAAACAAACAAACATGGTTTACAGTAGGTCACAGAAAGGGTGATCTTATGGGGAAAAAAAGGAAAGTAGGAGAAGATTTTATTTGCATGGTGAAGCGTAATTACCGAAAGAGTAATCCGATTCACATAGCTCTAGATAATTCATGCCCACTAAATTGGCCAGTATTTACAAGAGGACATGATGTGAAATGTTACAGCAAGGGCTCTGTGGTTAAAGATGCTGAACTTGTCAGCTTGAAAGCTTCGAGACTTGAGTAATATGTGACGGGGTGAGCTTCCGTTTCTTGCCTCAGCGCTTGCCCATCTAGCAGTTTGAAAGCAGGCAAGCGCGAGTAGATAAATAGGTATCACTTCGGTGGGAAGGTAACACAAAAGTCAAAATCACTTTGCAGAGAATGGTATTTCAGCATACAAAGGCATCTGCCTTTTTCTATGCATGAAAATTCTCCTTGGGTACAACTGCAAAAATCTAATGCAGTGGTGGCTAACCTTTTTGGCAACGAGTGCCAAAACGGGAGTGCACATGCATATACATGCCAGCCACCTGGTCTTCCAGTTTCTAACATGCATGCATGTACAAAGACCAGCTGGCCGGCACTTGCATGGACTCTGGGGAGCTGCTCTTCCGGTTTCCGGCACTCCCGCGTATGCAAAGACCAGCTGGCTGGCATGCATGTGTGCATGAAGACCAGCTGACCAGCGCACATGCGCTCCGGGGAGCTGCTCTTCTGGTTTCCGGTGCTCCCGCACGCACAAAGACCAGCTGGCCAGCATGCATGCGCGCGCGGGAACCCAGAAGAGCAACAGGCGACAGCTGGTGTGCCTGGAAAGATGGCTCTGTATGCCACTTCCGGCACTGGTGGGATAGGTTCTCCATCATGGATCTAGGGAGAATGTTTCTAGATCAAAGTCTTCTCAACTTCCTTCACAGAAGGAAGAAGGAAGAGGCAGCCCATAAAGTTCATGCCAGGGATGTCCACAGGAGGGTGGAACTTGGGGAAAGCAAAAAATCACAACATAGAGGGTGTCATTGTGACTTTTCAGACCTTCTCTGTAGATGCTGCCTGTGCCCGACAGTTGCCTTTCTCCAAAAGGCTAACAAGACAAAATAAACTTTAAAAAGCATGACTGGAAAAAAAATATTTATTTATCCAAAATCTCATCTATCTATCCTTCTCTTCTGAGCTTTCGGGGTAAAGCCCCTGAGCCCACTGAAAAATAAACAACAACAACAACAACAACAAAGGAATCACAATCAATCTTCATCACATTTAAAAAATAATAATCAAAAGCACAAACATTAGAATCCTAGGATTAAAAAAAAAAAAACATTCACCACCTGTAAATACCAGCAGATTATCTGATCTACAACTGACTCAGGAAACTTTGTTTTAGGTCATCAGTCAGAAAATAATTTGCAGCCTAATAATGAAATAAATAATTGCAATAGCGGATGAGATGATCCAAACTCCTTAAAAGTTAAAGAACTAACAGGTACATTTATATGCAACACACAAAGTTTCTGTCTGCTTTGATTTGGTGATATGTCTTATAGCCTGTGAGGTGAATCCAGCCCACTCAATTGGATTCAATTGTGCGTGACCACAATTGACCCCTAAGCAAGACAGTTGTTAAGTGAATTTTGCCCCGTTTTATGACCTTTCTTTCTGCCAGCTGTCAAGTTGTGAACACTGCCACTTGTTAATTTAGCAACACGGTTGTTAAATGAATCTGGCTTCCAGGTTGACTTTACTTGCCAGAAGGAAGGTCACAAAAAGGTGATCCCATGAACTCTGGGACACTGCAACCGTCACAGAGATGAGTCGGTGGGCAAGCGGTCAAATTTTGATCGCGTGACCATAGGGATGCTTGCAATTAAGTGGAAAATGGCCGTAAGTTTCTTTGTTCAGTGCCGTTGTTACGTTGAACAGTCACTAAACGAATGGTTATAAGTCGAGAACTCCCTGTACTGGAAGAATCTTTTCCAGAAGCAAAGACAAGGATTCTTTTGCATTGTCAGAATACGCACACTTTGGGCGCTACAAGTTTGAACTGAAGAAGAGAATGTTCTCCTGCCAATCTTACTGGACCCTCCTACCCCCGATTCTGAGCTAGCAAGTGAAAGAAAAATACCCGATTTCCATCTCTCATTAAGTGCTTTTTTAAAATTTCTTAAAAGACGGTTCCTTCCTTGTCAAATGGCTGCTCTCAAAAGAACAGAAATGCGCCAGAAGCAAAAGATCGGATCTACAAAAATGGGATCACACCGGATCACTGTCTAGGGCAGAGGTCAAAAAAGGATGGTGTCAAGTTCCAATAAATGCATCCAGCATAAAACGAACTCCGAGACATTTCTGACTCTCAAAGAACAATTTTATTTAGATACACCGTCCTGGCCCTCACTGGCGGAAAGTTTCCCAGTACTGAAAGTTTCCCGGATTTCCACGCCGCTACACGTAGAAAATTTTCCACTTCCCAGAACAATATGTCACATGGTCCAACCAGGATGTGAAACAAGTACCCTGGCAACTTCGTTCCTCCTTCCTTTGGCCAGGCAGCCGTTTCACATCCTGGTTGGACCATGTGACATATTGTTCTGGGAAATTGAAAATTTTCTACGTATAGCGGCGTGGAAAGCCGGGAAATGTTCAGTACAGGAAAGCAATTGACTCATCATCCAGCTGTGTTGTTTTGGCTGGAGCTCCGTCCGCCTCAGCTCACACACACCCTTTCCTCCCCCAAGCGTGTCAACCTGAATTCCTATGAATAACCCAGATAATACCCCATCCACGACCTAACCGAATTCAGACTTGACAGATGGCCTTTTTTTATGACTTGTGGATATCAGGGCTCCGGTAGTTACCCCACAATTAAATCATGAGTCTCTAGCCGGATTTTCAAAGCTTAAAGAAGATTTATTAGGAGTAGACATGCCGGTGCCGGCCTGAGTGTAGCCAACTTTGAGACACATAATTCATTGTCACCCTTGACCCTGGTTTTCCCCCACCCCCTGGGTGTATCATAATTCATATTCTCCAATGGGACACATCCATAGCCAAGAGTCATCAATCATACTCCCCAGTTAGAATTTTGCCTGGCAGAAACTTCGGTTGCCTGGAAACCATCTATGAAAACATTTATGCAGTTTCGGTTTTGCAAACTGCTGCACTGCTCCCCCCTCCCTTTCTGTTGGCAGCTCTAAAAGACCAGAGAAATATTTTATGAGTTGACAGTGGAGTTGAAGTCCACAAGTCATAAAAGGGTCTTTCTGGAATACTGGGAGTTGAAGTCCACAAGTCATAAAAGGGGCCATCGTTGTCCACCGCTAATCTAGGCCCTGGGGGAAGGTGGTGAAACATCAGGAGGAGAACTTGTCAAGGAGCTCAGAAGGAGGAAGACTTTGGTCAGTGATGTAGCCGAGCAGATGACCTGGGTCATCCCATCAACAGCTCACCCAAGGAAATCACAACGGAAGTCTTTATCATTGCCATAAACTGTTAAAAATTTACCACATGCCCGAATCTGTCCTTCCTCAAATTCAGGAAAGGAAATGATAGAACTCTAACCAGTCAACATCACTGCCCTGCCTCTCTGCCTTTCCCCACTCCCCAAATATTATTTGCAACTTCAGACGCCCCCAAAGTTGATGTCCCTCGATTAAACACGTGACAGGATTAGCTTAAGAGCAGCGTTTCTCAATCTCGGCCATTTTAAGACACGTGGACTTCAACTCCCAGAATTCCCCAGTCAAGATGGCTGACTGGGGAATTCTGGGAGTCGAAGTCCATAGGTTTTAAAGTTGCCAAGATTGGAAAATGTTGGCTTAGAGGAGCCAATCTAGGTCAACAACAAAATAAAGCTTGCTACGGAGAAACACATCTGGAACATAAAATCAAGAATGTACATTCCTACTTGTCAGGAGGCTTCAGGACTTTGAAAACACCCTCTGGCAAAATATTAAGTTCCATTTGATGTCCATACACGGTCATCAATTCCTTATATAATGGCATGGCACTGTAGCCAGAGTAAAAAAAAACAAAAAATAAAAACCAAGCATTTTTTCCTACTGCTTCTATTTTTAGCCAAGTTATTTTTGCCGAAATGATCAGGCTACAAAAACAAACAGGCCAACAAACAAACCTAAAATGAAATAAAATAAAAATCTCAGGGAATAAGGCTATAAACATTTTAAGCCTTCTAGGAAATGAGTCTGGCAATATTTTTTCCAGAGGCAACTAGACTTTTTGGCATTTTTTTTTGAAGATGTTTTGCTTCTCATCCAAGAAGCTTCTTCAGCTCTGACTGGATGGTGGGGGACGGAAGGATCCTCCCTAGTTTGAAAGAGGGGCCAAATAGGCCATTTATGTCAAAATTGAAGAGCTTTCTCTCAACAGAGGGGAAGGATACAACATCATCTATCTCCACTCTACAACACAGTCCTTTCAACCACTTCCAAGAAGTCTCCATAACCATTTGCATTACTCAAGTGACCTTGAGGACACCGATAAACCTCCAAGTGGCCTCAACGTCCCGCTAAAAGGATGCAAATGACCAGCTGTCTGCAAGGAATATAAATCCTTCCATTCTCCACCATCCAGTCAGAGCTGAAGAAGCTTCTTGGATGAGAAAAGAAAAACCAAAAGAAAAACCAAGAAAGTCCAGTTGCCTCTTGGGACAACCATGACCTGGATGACCGAGAACCTCCATAGACACATCTGGCATTAGCATGTCTTTGGGTTTATTGGGTTTTCCTGCCACTCTGGGTCTGCATCAATTCAGTAACGATTTCAACCACAGTGCAATAATAATAACAATAATAAAGCAGATATTTTGAAGATTCTCATCCCGGTCCTTTTTGGAAATCTGGAAATGTCAAAAGCCAAGCAGAGGAAAGACACCCCCCAGCAAAATCAACGAAGCAGAATTCCATCTCTCCCAGAGCCGACGCTGCTTGGAGGCGACTTCCTAGCTTGGTCGGCCCAAGTTTTTTCCAGCCGAATTAACCTTTTCCATCAAAAGGAGGATGTGTTCGGCGAACTCGCGAACTGCCCCGCGGCCACCATTGGACCTGCAAATGTAGCTCGCCGCTTTCTGCGCAGCCGGACAAGCATCTGCAGGGACGGCGCTCATGCTGGCTTTTTTCAGGCACTCCACATCCGAGTCTTCGTTTCCTGTGGGTGACCGGGGGGAGGGTGGGGGCAGGGAAAAGCATCTTCGGTGAACGATCGCAGGCTTTTAAAATCGGTTAAATTTTGTTAGAGGTGTTTCTGAGGTAAAAAAATGAACTTGCTGTTCTCGATCATACCGGTGAGGTTGGGACTCTCTTTAAGGACTCCAACCTTTTGACAAGCGAAGTCAAGGGGGAAGTCAGATTCACTTAACAACCGGGTGACTAGCTTATCAACTGCAGTAATTCACTTAACAACTGTGGCAGGAAAAGTTGTAAAATAGGCAAAAACTCACTTAACCAATGTCTGACTTAACCACCAACATTTTGGTGCTCAATTTGTGGTTGTAAGTCGAGGACTACTTGTTCCCTTTTCTACTGCCCACAATTGAAAGAAGCTCAAAAAACCATCCCCTGGGGCAGTGATGGCGAACCTTTTTGTTGTGGTGTGCCGAAAGCGCACGCAGGCACCCACAATGCAATGCACCCCGCCCCCCTGCGCATGCGCACTCAAAACCCCGCCTCGCCCCCCTCACCTGCATTGGGAATGTGCACGCCTCCCAGCTGATTTTTGGCCCATTTGAGGCCTCCTGGAGGCTTGAGGAAACCCTGGAAAGCCTTGGGAGGCTGAAAAATGGGCTTTCAGGAAATACCAGAAGTGCCCGTTTTCAGCCTCCGGAGAGCCTCCGGAGCCCAAGGGAGGCCATTTTCTCCCTCCCGGAGGCTCAAGGAAAGCCTCTGGAGCCTCAGGGCCTGTTTCAGCACTTCCGGTATTTCTGGAAGGCCCATTTTTCGGCCTCCCAAGGCTGCAGAGGCTTCCCTCGCGCCTCCGGGAGGCCAAAAATGGCCTCAAATGGGCCTCAAATCAGCTGGGAGAAGCGTACATGCACAGTGCCAGTAAATGGCAGGGGCTCACATGCCCGCACAAATGGCTCTGCGTGCCACCTCATGGCCCTGGGGAAATCATAAAGTAGAAAAGTGGAAACCTCGTTCGCAGAGGAAGCCAACTTTTTCAGAAACTTCCAGCAGAGTCAATGAAGTCAGCAACAGCGTTCGGAAAGGGCCTCACCTAAGTATGCCACCTCTTTCCAGCACAACCCCATGGCCTTCCGCCATTTCTCCACGACGCCCAGCTTGTCTATCACCCCGACTTCCACGGTACAGCCCAACTTCGAGGTGAAGAGCCCCTTGGTGGAACAGTCTCTCTCGGAGATCAGATGCACCTGGACAAATGAAAGGCTGTTAGTGCTGACAGAGGAGAACTTTTGTAGCTTGGAGTTTGAAATGTGGGGTCCCTGGTGCTCTCTGAGCTTGGTTGTTTTCTTGCAGATGTTTCATTACCAAACTAGGTAACGTCATCAGTGCCAAGCAAAACATCGTGGGTATTAAAGCACCCTTGACACTGCAAGAATGTCAGAGGTGTTTAAATCATATGATCTCTTTTCTCTCTGCTACCCCAGATGGGAAAGACACTTAACTGGTGTCAGCCTTGGAAGCCATTTTTTACTTGAAGCTTCGAGGCTGCCACATTCAGTGTCTGGGAATTTGGGAGGAGGGATTTCATAGTGAGGTAGAAGATCAGACACAACAACATTCTTTCTCAGAGAGTCAAGGACATGTTACCCTGCACCTGGAGGGGAAGGACTGGGAGGATGTCTCCAGTTGGAACGAAGATTTGTTTGGGCCATGTGATGGACTGATGGGTGCAGGGGATGGATCTTTGAATTTCTCTGGGGGAAGGGAAAATTCAGAACTCTCAGATTCGGGTTTTCCCAGATGTGCCAATATGACAACTCTAATAAAATGGAACTTCGAGGAATTGATGGTCTCGGAGTTTATTGGTTTGGAGTTGGTTAGTTGGAATGCTGACGTTAACCTCAATCTCTAAATCTTTAACCCCCTCCCCGGAAACCGGAGGCTGTCCAGAATCCTGAGCCCCGAACGTCGACCTGCAGACTCAGGGAAGATTGACAACTAGGACAATAAATCCCAGATCTAACCCCGTCATCCTTCCATAAAGCTTTGAAGACCTGGCTATGCTCCAGAGTCTGGGGAGTTATATGAACCAAGGACTCCACCTCCTGGCTTTATTGTTAACAGGCCAGAGGTCTCAAATTGCACATTTTCAGGGTGGTTTTTAGTGCTTTCATGGTTTTTATTCTTCTGTTTTAAAATGTTTTAAAGATTTCAATTGTCGACTTCCGGTTTGAGCGTCTTCAGTGACAGACCGAAACCTTGTCTCTGCGAGGCTTCGATCCATGCTCACTGCTGGAGTGCCCCGAGCCGGCTGGTTTCGGGGCTAAGCCACCCCGTAGAGGTGGTGAAGAAGGGGGAGACTGCCTGCAGGGTTGAGGAGAGCCGCATCTCTCCTCCCCAGCTGGCCATTACTCCCTTTCCCGAAAGCGGTTGTAGTGGTGGTCAGAAATGGCCACCACAAAGAAGAACTCGACCGGAAAAGAATGTGCAGGAGGAAGATAAGAAGAGAAAGTTTTGGTTGACCGGGTCAAACAGCAAAAGCAACAAATAAGGTACCCTGGAATTGAAACTATTAAAAAAAAAACAATAACATCGTTCCCTAAGAAGATTTTTAAACTGCAAAGGAGAGAGAAAAGGGAAAAGATTTGGGTTTTTTTTCTCCTTTTCCTATACTGACAGCTAAGAGACTTAAGCAAGAAATTGGAAAAAAATCCACTTTGACATTAATAGGCATTTAATGCTGAAAATAAAAAGTCAAAGGGATAATAAAGATTTCTGGATAATCAAAAGCTTTTGAAAACAGGAAAGGAGAGAAAAAGAATAAAAGGGCAGGATCTGGAAGGGAGGAGACTGCCTGGAATTAAAAAGAACTTACAGCAAAATCTTAACAAGACTTCCAAAAGATACATTTTAACTGAAATATTGCAACAAAAACCGCAGGAAGAGAAAGTGGAAAAAGAAATAAGAAGAAATAACTTGGGACTATTTGGATTACTTGGTGATTTCTGGATTTTTGGTTATTGTATTTGAATGACTAAAATCAATTGGGTGGTTGTTTAAAACTGTTTAAAATGGCTCCACTTTTAGAAGAACTGGAAAATGGAACTTAAAAAGTACAAAGAAGATGCACAAGAAGGGAGAGGTTCTTTTGGCTTCATATTTCAGTTTTTAGAAATGGAGATTTGGAATTATGAGAAACAACAAGAAATGCCTGCAGAACAAGAAGATTGCGACAAAGAAGAAGCCATCTTTAATGAACAAGTAATTTTTGGTGGGGGAAAAAAGGGAAAGGGGGGAAAGAGAATGGAAAGTTTAAGATTGGGAAAAACAACTCCAAAAAAAAAAAAAAATAGAGTGAAAATAAGCATAAAATCAGAAAGCAACAGAAGAGGGAAATGCAGAAGAGAGAATTAGAAGTAGGGAGACAAGGGGGTAAAAAGGGGAGGGAGAAGATGAGAGGGAAGAAAGAAAGGAAAAGAAGTTATAAAGGACAGAAACAAAATATAGAGAAACAGGGCCTATTTAGAGATAATGGGTGAAAATTTAATGGAAAAAGGGATTCTGCAAAGGTACATAAGATAGTATTGTTATATTAGAAACAGAAATAATTTTAGAAAATATGAAACAATGTATGATTAAAATGTCTGATAAAATAGCTATTGTAATTCAGTGGAATGCTTGTTAATAAATAAATGTAACAAAATGAATATTTAATGATTTATAAAACATATGTGAAGAGAAATAAGGGAAAAATTAACTATGGAGATTATATGTGTCTTTAAGGAAGTATGATATTTAATTGAAAAGAAGTGTTAAAGATGTTAAGATTTTAATGATTATTAATGATAGAACTGAATTGGAATGGAATGAGGGTTTATAATTACATATATTTATATATATATTTAAAGAATATAGTGTGTATTATAAGAATGTACCAAGCAGAATTCGATTGGAAGTTATGTATTATGTATTATATTGAAGGTCATAACCTTAAGGTATATATTGAAGTTTAAATAAGAATTGAATGGATGTAATTAAAAGATATAAAGGTGTCATACTCCAATTAGTAACTACAGGAGAAAATTTGTTTAATGAGAAAAGATATTATGAAATTGAAACAGAACAGACAAAAGTATAAATATAATGATTTGAATTGAGATGAGATAATCAAAATAAAATAGAGAAAATTAAAAGAGGGGAAAAACTATATAAAAAATGTAGAATAATATAAGATATGGAATAGAACACAAAAAGGAGCATGAAATTGAGTTTTGTGTCTGTATAAAGAAGTTCAACCCGGGACCATGCTATTTTCAAAAAAGATGTTTTACTTGTATTTTGTATGTGTGAAAACCCAAATAAAACTTTATTAAAAAAAACAAAGATTTCAATTGTAATGTATGTCTTTGAATTGTGAGCTGCCTAGAGTTATTTGCTGAGATGGGCGGCTGTAGAAGTCAGTCAAACAAACAAACAAACAATCAAATAACTTTGCTAAGTCCCTTCCTCTCAGAGTCTTTATGATGTCTCCATACTCTCAAGCAATGAGTACGAGTTTTGACATTTTGGCCTTCCCCGTGAAAACTAAAAGTCTACCTCCTTGGAAGGAAGATCAGACATATAAAAGGAACAGATCAGACACCCAGCCCTTGCTTATCAATGGAGACCGAGTGGAGCAAGTGGCCAGTTTTAAGTTTCTGGCTGTTACCATAAAAGAGGACCTGACCTGGGATGCTCACATTGCAGCCCTGGTCAAAAGGGCCCAACAGAGATTATACTACCTGAGACTTCTCAGAAAACAACATCTGAATGAAAAACTGCTGGTGACCTTCTACCGCTGCACCATAGAGAGTATCTTAACTTACTGCACCTCTGTAGGGTTTGCCAATTGCACAGTGGCAGATAGGACAGCACTCCAGAGGGTTAACGTCATTGCCCAGAAGATCATTGGTTGTCCTCTCCACTCTTTGGAAGAGCTTTAGAGCTCCCACTGCCTTAAGAAAGTTCAAAACATTTTCAAAGATCCATCTCATCCTGGGCACCTTTTTTTTTTTTTTGAACTATTACCATCTGGCAGATGGTACAGTATAAAAACAAGGACAAATAGGCTGAAAAACAGCTTCTATCCCAGGGCAGTAACTCTTTTGAATTCTGCTGTATAGTGCAGTGTTGGTGTGGTGTTGGGGTTTGGGTTCAATGTGTGAAGTGTGAAGGATTTCTGTTTGTGTTTATTTTCAATCATAATGTACACTGAAGATGGTATTTAATTTTGTTGTATGAGGTGCAATGACAATAAAGTAAACTAAACTTTCCGATAAAAGGCAAAGAAATTTTGTGACATCCCTACCCTGAAAATCCATCTCCAAAGACAAGATTTAAGATGATACCTCGACGCCTCTTTTCTGAAGCTGACTGATTCCAACAGCGTCTCTGACATCATAGGAAACCATCTCTTTTCCGTCTTCCGAGATGTAGATGTGGCCGGTGGTGAGGCATCCGTCAATGGTACAAACCAGAAGCTTCACTTCCTTTAAGGTATCTTTCCCAAAGTAGCCATATCTGGAAATATGGTTTACAAGCATGGAAAAGAGGGGAGGGACCCAGTTTACTTATGTTGCATTCTAGAAACAAGAAGAAGGCTGGAAGATCAAGAAGAAGAAAAAAAAAAAGCATAGTTCTCAGAGGTGGTATTCAGCTGGTTCGGATCGGTTCTGGTGTATCGGTAGCGGAAATATTGAGCAGTTCAGAGAACCACCAAATACCACCTCTGGCTGGCCCAGCCCACCCACCCCTGCTGTTACCTCTCCTATATTACCTCATTTTTTATCTCAGCTGATTCGCAAGGCAGAGTGGATTTGCTGCGCCTCAGCTGAGCTAAGAAACAGCTCAGCTCACCAGTGTTGACATAGAGGGCGGTCTTGCGTGTGTGCTTTCATTACTTTCTCCTAGAACCACTAAGAAAAAGTTTGGAAACCCACCCCTGAGAGTTCCCATGGAGGAGAGAACAGAAGAACAGAGTTGGAAGGGATCTTGGAGGTCTTCTAGTCCAACCCCCTGCTCATGCAGGAAACCCTATACTATTCTGCTGTTCGATCTCTTCTTCAAAAACTCCGGTGTTGGAGCACCCGCGACCTCTGGAGGGAAGTTGCTCCGCTGATTGATTGTTCTAATTGTCAGGAAATTTCTGCAGCCTACTAGTTTTTCTGCATCTGGGTGCGTACGATTCACATAGGTTGCTAAGATCAGAGAGAGAGACTCAAAGTTTCTAGCCCACCCTCAAACATGAAATCTCACTGGGATGTCCTTGGATCAGTCCTTCTCGCTGCCTGACAGGGTTGCTTATTGTGAAGATAATGTTGGAGGACAGATATGTACGTTGCTTCAGTGGTGGGATTCAAAAATTTTTTACTACCTGTTCAGTGGGCATTGGTGGGTGTGGCTTGGTTGGTGCGGCAAGGGAAGGATACTAGAAAATCTCCATTCCCTCCCCACCCCACTAACCTGCTTTCCAGCTCCGTTCTCCTGGGCAGGGCAACCAAAGAAGACCCAGACGATCAGCTGGGACTTGGGAGGCAGAGAATAGATGGGGGCGGGGCCAGTCGGAGGTGGTATTTGCTGGTTCTCCAAACCACTCAAAATTTCCGCTACTGGTTCTCCAGAACTGGCCAGAACCTGCTGAATCCCACCTCTGCTTTGAACTCTTTGAAGAGCAGAAATCTTGCCAAATCAAGTAAGACTAATATTTATTTGCAAGATACACCCCTCTCTTCAACTTATATGGACCTGTTCTGGAACAAGGGTATCTAGAGAAGAGAACATTTGTAACTCTAGATTAAAATGAGGGGTCCTTGGTGCTCTCTCTGAGCTTGCAGACGTTTCATTACCCAACTAAGTAACTGTATCAGTTCTAGAAGTTAGTTTAACTGCACTCCCTTCAAACACGGATGACATTACCTAGTTGGGTAATAAAACGTCTACAAGGAAACAACCAAGCTCAAGAAAGCACCAAGGACTCCACAAGGGTATCTACACCCAGCACTACAAGATTTCTCAAAGGAGGAGAACATCACTGTAAACTCTCAGTGTTTGCAGCATGACTACTATTGTGAGACAACCCAGGAGCACAACACCGCACACAGAGGCTTTGTCTTTTAACAGTGGTTTACATACAAGACTGCTATATACATATATACATGTGTTAGGCACATACCAGGCAAGCAATCAGGCCTCATTACTCTGCACAGAGAACTACAATGGAGATAGAACATGAGGAGAGAGAGAGAGAGATCCGCCCTCTCATGGCCGCCCTTATATATACAGCTTCTTCAAAGTGGCAATAACCCTGCTGACCCAACCTCAGTCTCAAAGCGGCAATACCCTACTGACTGATTCTCATTGCATCAGCATTTACAGCAGCCTTACAACAGTTGGTCAGCTATTAAATCTTCAATATCTCAACACAAACACCCAAAAAAACCAGGTTTTGTGCTTACCTTAAGACCCGTTGCTCCGCGATAGGCCAATCTATATCCACATCTATGTCCACGCTATGCTCAGCTCGCATTTCGTAGTATGCCATTTTCCCACCCTAGATAAAAATGAAAGCATGGGTCAGTCAATCTTGCCCACACCGGATGTGTGGCAAATCCTGAACACCGGACAAGATTTCCACAGGGGTTATGTACATGTCTGCAGAGAAGAGTCTCTGGAGCCCAAAAGGTTGGAGGAGTTCCAATGAAGAAAAATCTAATTAAATCAATAAATCCAATTTAAAGAAGAATGGGAAAGAATTATTCACAGAATATTTTAATCAACTCACTACGATTGGTCTAGTTCAACTACTTCCTTATTATTTTTTCTTCCTTATATATGATCTTGGATTTAACGTGATTAGGATTCACTGCAGTAAGAATGAAAAAGATAATCAGGACTTCCTATCTAGATGTTGATAGTTATGTCAGTCCTTCCTTCCTTCCTTCCTTCCTTCCCCTTCCCTTCCCTTCCCTTCCCTTCCCCATCCATCCTCTCTACATTCTTCTCTGATATTTTGGGTCTACTTAAGAAACAATAAATTAACTACCTCTTATATTCCCCTCCTTAACACTCTGGGTGGAATGATAAAAAGATAGCATAATTTATACCAGCTGTGTTCTGCATAAAAAATAGTAAATAGGAAACTCTGTTTTGGAAAAAAAAAACTATAAATCCTACCTACTATGGCCTTTCAGCTGGGGTGGATTTACCAATGTTTTAGGCGGCATAGTTGTATCATGCTACAACTAGGACTGTGAAACAATCTGACTTTTAAGGTCAAAACCGCCCCTTATGGGAAGACTTTTAAGAAACAAAATTGAGCAAAAAACCATTCAGCCAGTTCCTAAATTGGGGCTACTAAAGGTTAGCATTGAAAGAGGTGAGTAACTTCTTCGGAAATCCAATTCAGAAGGGCTGTGGCAAAGGAAGGGCCAATAGGTGCACCCACCTGCAAATATCCCTTTTCAATTAAGGCCCTCTTGGCAAAGTAAAATGATCCATTTTCATAAAGTTCCCCATCCCAGTCCTGTCGCCGAGGACGCTTGGCAGGATTCAGATTTTGCGGGACGGTTGCTTCGCAGACTGTTAAAAACAACGAGGGAGCAGGGGGAGAAAAATGGATTTGGTGTCACTGGAATTTTAATTGTGCTGTCCTGCTCACTCTCTCACATACACCCATAACTGTAGTTTAGCGCAGAGGTCTCCAACCTTAGCAACTTTAAGACTTGTGGACTTCAACTCCCAGAGTTCCTCAGTGTCAACTAAAAAAATACTTCTTTGGTCTTTTTAGTTGCCAGCAGAAAGAGAGTGGGGGAAAAGCAGTGCATTCCTTAAATGTTTCAGATAATCGCTCTGGCAACCGAAGCTTCTGGCACGCAAAATTATTACTGGAGAGCATGACTGATGACTCTTGGCTATGGATGTGTCTCATTGGAGAATATACATCCAAGGGGTGGGGGGAAGGTCAGGGTCAAGGGTGAAATGAATGATGTGGCTCAGAGTCGGCTGCAACTGTGAAACGCCGACATGTTAACTCCTAATAAATCAATCTTTTTTACTCTGAGAAATGTGGCTAGAGACTTATGATTTGAAAGGGGGTGCGTGTCAGAGTCCTGATAGCCAGCTTATTTGACGCCGATAGATGGCTGATGCGAATAGATATCTATCTGAAGTTTTGATAAGCAATAATATCCAGTCCGAAAGATGCCCCTCCCTTACCTCCTTTTTTAATTTCACTCCATCTGAACTGGTGCCGCCGCACGACTGAAAAGACCGAATCAAAGCCATCCTCACGGATCATTTTGACCACTTTGACCAGGTCGGTGGGATGCAGGCAAGGGGAAGTTGCTTGAATGTTCCCTACAACATCAACCTCTGGAGAAACGAGAGAAAAATACAGAGGAGATAAGGAGCTTCTAGGCTGATAAGGAGCTTCTATGTCATGTCCCTGGTGGAGACTGACTCTGAGGGAGAGGAGGAACAGCCGACAGGGAGTGGAAGTGTGGCTCCGGAGGTTGTGGAGGAGGCTGGGGAAGGGCAGAGGCCAGCTGGGCAGTCAGAGGAGGACCCAGGCCCATCCCCTCTCCATCCTAGGGCACGCAGGGAGGAGATAAGGGAGAGACGTGGTCTACGGGGGAGGAGAGGGCCTTGATCCTCTTCATGGGCTGCAGCTGTGACAACTAGGTAAGAGGACGGACATGCATACAGGCCAGTGCTGGAAACAAAACGTGGAAATATCTGTAGTTTATTGTTCCTGAGTTTGGCGTTCTTCCCAGTGTGTGTTCTGATATTTGTGGACATCCTCCAGCCCTTATCTTGCCTGGTTTGTGTTGTTTTTTACTCTTTATAACTTAAACGGCATTTCCTCCTTCTTGTAACTGCTTGTGTGGGAGTTTTTTGTCTCCAGTCAAAGATATTTGAAGCTTGGAAGCAAAGTGAAGGAATAAGGGATTTCACCTGTTTTTTTTGTGACTGTGTTTATTTTGTATCCCACCCTGGGTCATCATAATTTGGCTCAAGCTACAGGTAGTTCTCGACATAAGACCACAACGGAACCTAAACTTTTAATTGTTAAGTGAGACATTTGTTAAGTGAGTTTTGCCCCATTTTATGGCCTTTCTTGCCACAGTTGTTAAGTGAATCACAGAGTTGGAAGGGACCTTGGAGGTTTTCTAGCCCAACTCCCTGCTCAAGCAGGAGACCCTTTACCATTCCAGACAAATGGCTATCCAGTCTCTTCTTAAAAACCTCCCATGTTGGAGCACCCACAACTTCTGAAGGCAACTCTTTCCACTGGTTAATTGTTCACACTGTCAGGAAATTTCTCCTTAGTTCTTGTTGGTTACTTTCCTTGATTAGTTTCCATCTATTGTCTCTTGTCCTGCAGAACATCTAGATTCAGTCACACTTTTGTTCCATATAGCATCAACCTTGTGAATTCTCAAGTTTCCTCTTTCCACTATGTATTCAAAATGGACAGTGATGAATATATTAGCTCGATACCCGTGCTTTGCTATCTGGTCGGGCTTAGTTTTTGGGGAGGAAAATAAGGGGGGGAAATTCTGCCTCTGCCTACCAGCATCCATTGGTATTCACCTGGCTAGTGTTCTGTCAGTGTGTGAGAGTTGAGGGCTGTTTGGAAACTGAAATAGTATTTGCTGTGCGAGCAAGGAGGAGACAGCAAGGAGCCTGGGCGTGGCTTAGCTCAAAGGTGTACTAAAGGTGTTTGGTGCTGTGAAATTAAAACCTAAACTCCTCTCCTCTGCTTGTGTTTTGCACTTGGAACAGATTTCTTTTCAGATGGGAAGGGGGAGTAGAACTCCTTAGAGCGTGTTGATAATAATATACGAAATACTGGTGGTCATTTCGAAAAATCCTTTCTTAGTGAGCACCTAGAAGCCAAGAGGAACATACTTGCCAAATTTTAAGTTTGTAGGCTTTACGGTTCTGGAGATTTTGTGATGATGTGTGGGTGGTATTTCGCTTTTATATAGATAGATATATAAGATATATATGTGTGCTGCAAGTATATATTAATATATGTATAGAGCAGGGGCGTCAAACTGGATTTCTTCAAGGGTCAGATCAGCATTGTACTTCTCTGTGGGCACACGCTCCACCGCGCCCCATTTTGGCTGGCAGAGTGCTGCAGGAAGCAATCCAGGCTGAAAACGGGAGGGGCGAGGGGGCCATGTATAGCCCCCTGCACCTGTTTTGGCTGTCAGAGGCACCATGCGCTGGTCCATTGCTATTTCCAGGCTAGCCCAGCAGGCTGAATTTAAGCATCTTGCGGGCCAGATTCAGCCCACAGGCCTTTAGTTTGACACCCCTGGTATAGAGCATGTGTATATTTTGTTTGGGTAGATATACACTTTCTCTTGAGAGCCGGCAACATAATTTCATTTTTAATGTGGGCCAGTGTGCTTGCAGTTAAAAAAAAATGACAATAAAGTTATCTCATCTTATCTTATCTTGCCCTGGAAAATAGGATGACCCCCTTTAGATATTGGAATATTGCTATCATATCACCCCTGGTCCTTCTTTTCATTAAACTAGACATACCTGCATTCAAATCCAGAGAACGACAGCTGAAAGATCTCCCAAAGCAATACTTAAAAAAACACACACACACACACACAGAGTTTGTGAATACCAACATACCCTCGTGATATTGGAGAAACTCCACAATGGTGTCCAAAGAAGTAGAAGAATCTTTAGACACTTCAGAGCTCCTCCGATGAACCTGAGCTCCAAACTGCTTGGCAATTTTCTCAATTTCATCGTGATCCGTGGAAATCCACACACTGTGGGTAGACAAAGGGAGCAGCGACACTGTTGTCCGTTAGGGAAGTTGTGATACAACATGACAAGCATTGAGATATGAGTCAATTCTTTATCTCGTATCCCTCTCCCGCCATTAAATCTTTTGGAAAAGTGAATAGTAAACCGTTCTCTTCAACCAAAGACTTTTAGGAAAATCTCTAGGGTTTGGCCTCAATTTTCAAATCTGTAAAATGGGCATATCACATTTGCAAAAACAGAAAAATTGTGCAGTACTTCAGATTTGGAGGCAAAAAAGGGTCATTGGAGGATATTAGAGCATACATCTAGCCCCTTCTGCAAAGGTGTAAGGCTGCTGCATTGTTTTCTCTTCAAAGCGTAGTTAGTGCTGTGGATTCCAGAAAAGGGCATGTTTTAATTTAAGGTGGACAGAATGATCCTATCTTTATGCCAACATATGCTTTGAAATACCTTTTACCCTTTTATACCAAATACTGCACAGCCATAATGTTCTGTTTTGCCCTCAAGTCCTCTCCAAGGAACTATAATAGGTAGATACTTCTAGCTACCTCAGAGAAAAAAATCTGAAAACATATGGTTTAGTTTCTATTCCCTATCAAAACTCCCCCTCTGAAATAGCAATGGCACAAGCGCTTAGACTTATATACTGCTTCATAGTGCTTTACAGCCCTCTCTAAGCTGGTTTACAGTCAGCCTATTGCCGTCAACAATCTGAGTCCTTGTTTTACCGACTTCAGAAGGATGGAAGGCCGAGTCAACCTTGAGCCGGTCAGGATCGAACTACTGACAGTTGGCAGAATTAGCCTAAAATACTGCATTGTAACCAGGGCTCTTAAAATAAACTGAATATTCTCTTAAATTAAATAGAAGGTGCAAACTTGCAAGCATTTCTTTCAACAAGTAAATTTAATAAACGAACTGGTGTTGGGACAGCCCATACGGTATATTTAATTAAATAATAATACCGGTAGTCCTTGACTTATAACTATTCATTTAGTGACCAGTTCAAATGACAATGGCACTGAAAAAAGTAACTTACAGTCACCCAGCTTGCTTCCAGAAGCCATGGGTGCTCCATCACTGGAGGTTTTTAAGAAGAGACTGGTCAGTCATTTGTTTGAAATGGTGCAAGATCTCCTGCTTAAGCAGGGGGCTGGACTAGAAGACCTCCAAGGCCCCTTCCAGCTCTCTTCTGATTAAAATTTTTCACACTTATGACTGTTGCCGCATCTCCACTGTCACATGATCAAAATTTTGGACAACTTGATAATTGGCTTTGAAACATGTGGTCACCATTAGTAACCTTCCCAGTTTCTAACCTTCCTGCAAGTCAAGTCAGTGGGGAAAGCCAGATTCACTTCATGACCGCGTGATTCACTTAACAACGGTGGAAAAAAGTCATCAAATGGAGCAAAATCACACAACTGTCTTAAACTTAACAGCAGAAAATTTGGGCTCAATTGTGATCATAAGACAAGGACTACCTACAAAGCATATAAAGGATGTACCAAAAGTTAAGCCTCCCAATTTATAAAAATTTCATTCAACATTTGAATTGGTTGCCATTTTTAAACAAAAAAATTTTTTTTAATTTATTTTTATAAATTTTCATTCATGAACATTTTTGACTAACGTTCATAAACATTCATAAATGTTTTTGAATAACAGTGCATTGGCAAAGCATTATTTACAAATAAAACCCAACCCAACCTATGTAAATAAATCTCAACATACAAACTAATAGCAATAGTAATGGTATAATAACTGTGCCAATAGAATAACCAAAATAATTGATCTAGGTTTTTTACATTAAGTTAATTACATTTTTTTTATCAATTACTACATTTATATTTATCTACCTCTTTACTATTTTCACTATATATAATATTAACCTTCATAATCTTACTTTCTCTAAGTAAATCAATAAAGAATTCTATTCTATTCTATTTTATGCTATTAGATGTACTTTTATTCCCTGGAATCTTGAAAGTAAAAAAGTTCTAATTTCTACCTCTTTTCTCTATCCATTCACAGAATTTATTTCATGCCCGGAAAGTATTCTGAATCGCCTTTGTCTTTAATTTTTAAAGTTAATCTATCCATTTCAGCACAGCCCCAAATTTTCCTAACTATCCACCTCGTCCGGTAGTAGAGTATTCATATTTTTCCAGTATTTAGCATATGTCATCCTTGCTGGAAACTTTTGCAAGAATATATTTCAAAAGCCACCCCCTCACATAGTCCATCCTAGATTTGAAAACTTGATGGATTTTCATCTTTTGATTCTGAGAGAGCGTGCTTTCTAATAATGATAAAGTCCTGCGTTGGGTTTTGTTTTTTTTTAAATCATGATTTGTATGAAATTCCTTAAGGAATCAAACGCAACCCTGAAGTTTCTGTTGCAGACAAAAGAACTGTAGTTTCATTAAAAGGAGGGGGGGAAGGAGGAGGGGGAGGAGAAAGAACGTTGACACTCGCGCATGCGCAGACCTCTGGAAGGCGCCGGAGTCGAGGGCTGCCCTCACTACCCAACCAATCAGCGGAACGCCAGCCAGGAGCTTAATGTTCTTTAGCGGGATCCCTTTGCTGCCGCCTCGAGCCAGGACCAGCGCCGCTATGTGAGGGGACCCCAAGTCGGCATCCCCCGACGGCCGGGAAGAGGAGACAGCGAGCGAAGGAGAATCCCCCACTGTCGCAGACATGATTTGCCTGACAGAAAGAACAGAAACCGCCCTGCCACGTTTAAGCCCCGCCCCCCCCTTCGCGCAGCCGCCCTGGCACGCCCGCCATGAGGAATGCCGGGAGGTGGAGTTTTTAGGCGCGGAGGGGAACATTTCCCCGCCGCTTCAAAGCTTCTGAGGCGGTAGAGGGCGCTGTTTCTGCGCTTGCCGGGGGAAATGTAGTTTCATTGGTCGATGGGAGTCAAAGCCAAAGGTCGTTGCAGTGGGATGTCGGGAAACGTAGTTCAATGGATGGATGAATCTAAAGTGGATCTCTGCTGGACATGAGGCCGTTCTTCTTGAAATGGGATGGACTACAAATCCCATGTACTGGCCGAGTGTGATGGTTGTTGGAAAGCACCTGGTCGAATGGCCTGGAGGATAAGAATCCCCTTCAGCCAGTAGAGAAATGGCACAGAGGCGTTTCCAACCTTCAGAACCTAAAAGTTGGATTTTAGACTGTCCTTGCCTGGAGAAAACTGCAGATGATATCTTGGGCTGGAAGAATAGCAACAGCACTTAGGCTTACATACCGCTTTACAGCCCTCTCTAAACGGTTCTACAGAGTCAGCCTATTGCCCCCCAACAATCTGGGTCCTCATTTTACCAAACTTGGAAGGTTGGAAGGCTGAGTCAACCTTGAGCCTGGTAAGATTCAAACTGCCAAATTGCGGCCCGCCGGCAGTCAGCAGAAATAACCTGCAGTATGGCACTCTAACCACTGCGCCACCGCAACTCAAAAACAAATCATGCAATGTTTTGTGAAGTAAGAAGAGAAGTGAAAGTTGCATGTTGAAGAAGCAGGACAGGAAGAGGATCAATGCTTTGGAGTGTTGGAAGGGATTGCAGAGATAACTGAGGACAGTCAAGAAAACAAAGAAATGGACCATCCATTTCATTTCTTTTGTTTTTTTGGCTGTCCTCAGTAATCTCAGAAAAGCTACCAAAGTCCTCACTGGGTTCAAACTAACCTAGTTCAGATATATTATGCAAAGACTAGTTCTCTAGAAAAAGATCTAATGCTGCGAAAGGTGGCAGGAAAAAGAAGAGGAGGATGACCAACAGCAAGGGGGAATGGACTCAGTTACAATGGTAGAACTGTTGGAAGATCTGAAAAATCGGTTTAAGAATAGATTATCACAGAGAAGAATCTATGTATGTGGTCATCACTAAGAGTTGGCAGTGACTTGATGGCAGACCGTAAATCAATTTCTTTCCAGGCTAGCCATACAGTCCTCAAAGAAGTCCATAATCCAGGGAAAAGTAGAAGAAAAGAGAAATCCACCAGAAGCAAGTGGACAAATTCGGTTACAGTGGTGACGGGTGCATTATTGGAAGATTTGACAGACCAAATTAGAGACAGATCATCATGAAGAAAATCTATCTGTGATGTTTCATCTATGTGTCCCAAAGGTGTTTTTTTCAAGAGGCAACTGGACTTTCTGTTTTTTCTTTGAAGACATTTCGCTTCTAATCCAGGAAGCTTCTTCAGCTCTGACTGGATGGTGGGGAATGGAAGGATTTATACTCCTTGCAGCCAACTGGTCATTTGCATTCTTTTTAGGGAGTTGTTGAGGCCCCTTGGAAGTTTGTCTGTATCTTCAGGGTCACCTGAGTGCAAATGGGTGTGAAGCCTTCTTGACTGCAGGATGTTTTCTGCCTGTGTCCCTTCACTGTTGAACACAGGCGAATGCTGTTGGGGACGAGTCTGTATTGTCTGCATCTCAAACTGAAGTACAAATGGTTCCTGTAGTCTGCAATTTTTTGGAAATCTGTTTACAAAATCCGTTTTTTGGGGTGAGAAGCGAAACACCTTCAAAGAACACCAGAAAGTCCAGTTGCCTCTTGAAAAAACACCTTTGGAATAACCATGACTTGGATGATTGAGAATCTCCATAGACATTTCGCCTATGTGGTTGCTGAGAGTTGACACCAACTTGATGGCATATAATTAGACAGTCAACAGGAAGATTTAGCTAACTTGAGAGCACATAATGTGGAGAAAAGAGAAAGGGAAGGGAAGAAGAGGATGACTAGCGGCAAGATAGATGGTCTCATTTACAGAAGTGATGGATGTACCATTGAAAGACCTAAAGCAGGGGTGTCCAACCTTGGCAACTTTAAGACTTGTGGACTTCAACTCCCAAGGTTGGACACCCCTGACCTAAAGAATCAAGTTAGAGAGAAATCCAGGAGAATATCTATTGTGGTTACTAAGAATTGACATTCACTTGATGGACATATAATCAGAAAACAAAACCGCTCACAGGAAGTATTAAAACCAAAGCTAAAATGTAGATATAGAATTCTTTATTGGCCAAATGTGATTGGACATACAAGGAATTTGTCTTGGTGCACATGCTCTCAGTGTACATAAAAGAAACATTCATCAAGAGTCAAGAATCATAAGGTATTATGGAACAAATAGTAAGTAGGTATTGAAGAAGATTCTTATGTTTGGAAGAATCAAAGACAGTAATAAAAACAGACTAACAAACAAGTTGATACACTGATGACATTGTGGAAAGGGAACTTCATGAGGACAGTGGTGACACCCAAGCAGGAAAAGCCCAAAGGGAACATCAGGCCAGCCATAAAACAAACTTGCATAGGAAAAGAGATTTAATAAAAGGTATTGAAAGAAGCCCCCTAGACAAAAGCCAAGTAATTAAGAAAGCTAGGGAAACAAGAAAAAGAAATCCCTTACAAACAACAGGTCATGCCAAATCAGCAAAACAAATAGACAAAAGACACGAAATAAATTCCATAGCAGACAGGAGATTGCCACAAAACAAATATAAGAAAACATTAGGAAACTGATAATCCAATCAAACTACCCTGCAAAGTTTGCCTTCTGCACCCCACGGAGTTTACCCTCCGGCGGAAATGAAGACAACCCCTGACAGGATTTAAAACATTAAGAAATACAAACACAAGCACTCACACACAAAAGGAGAAAAAGTATAAAAATCAGGGGTTTATTATACAAAGGGAGCTAGCCCCAGGAACGCAGACTTCTTGCTATCTCTCGCCTTCCTGAAAAATAAAAAGAACCAGCTTCCAAGCAGTTGTCTGAATCCTTGCACTGGAGTTCTCCCAGCAGGAAAACCGAACCCTCAGAAGAAAGGCATTTCCCAGCCTTTCAACAACATAACAGAAGCTTACAAGAACTCTTAGAAATAATTGCTAGAAAACACTTTTGACCAAATAGTGTCTTATCAGTTCATGAGATGTTGGAAGCAACAGAGCAACTAAATAACAATAAATCTGTGAGGGAAATAAAAATGGCACAAAAACCTGGAGTGCTGTTAGCATAGCATTCATTCATGATGGGCTTATATTTTTCCTTAGTAAATTGAACCACCATCTTCCAAAGCCACTTTGCTGAGTTTCTGTGACAAACAACTATAGAATAATCAGGTTTGCTAGATTCACACAACATGCTAGGCTAAATTGTGGTTGGCAAGTTTATATTGAGAACATGATGGGAACATAACTACTTCCCCAATCTCATAAAGGGAGTTATTGCATATTATTCTCAAACAGCTATACAGCAATGGTAGAAATGAGAGCAGTAACAGTTGGCTGCTAAATATATATGAAAGCTCCTGCTCCTGCAAGTCTTTTTTAATTCCAGCAGAGTGCAGCCTTTTCACACAGAAGAAAATTGTATATGTCTCTCAACACATTCTGAGAAATGGAAACAAGAATTAAAAATGAGCTCTTCCGGTTTTAAAGCATTGCGTTCTTTCTTGTTCACAACTTTTTCTGTGGATACGATCTGGCACATTTGAGTGTTTGAGGCCTTCCTTGTTTGGGGTCTTCCAAGCCATCTGGTCTCTAGTTCTCATTCTAGTTATGACTTACTCATGCTGGCTGGGGAAATTCTGGGAATTGAAGTCTGCCCTACTTAACCTTGCAAGAGATTGGAAAGACTGCCCAGACGTCTTGGCTGGATTTCAGAAGTGGTTTTCCCTCGCCTCCTTCCTAGGGCTGAGAGAGATCCTGGCCCAGAAAAAGGCCCTGGCTGGTTTGCTGCCTGAGGTGGGATTAGAACTCATTTTTCCCTACTTCAGTCCAGTATTCTAACCCTTGGGCCAAGCTAGTTCCCTACCAAGCGCGCCCATGAAGAATTTTCCCATGACAGAAACCTTTCCTGTCTGATCTACCTGATAAGGGAAAACCAAAATGGATAATATGGGGGGGTGGGATGTTAATCATAATCCGGGGGGTGGGATGTTAAAAAAGTCTAAAGTCTACAACCTTGCAAAGACCCACCCTTTTAAAATGTACATTGCAACACATCTAAAAAGAGCGTTTGATCGCATGGTTATGGGCAACATGACATGATGGGACGGAGTGGGCCCGATACCCAGGAAGGAGGGCCTGCATTCCAGAGGAGCAAGAGGCAACTCAGTTCAGATACTTTGTGTGAGAGAAAGAGGGTGAAGACAGCTCCTCCCTAATAGTTTCCAGTGTCTATGCTTGATGGAGGGTGGATCCAGTGGTGGGATTCAAATTTTTTTACTACTGGTTCTGTGGGCGTGGCTTGGTGGGTGTGTGGCTTGATGGGCATGGCAGGGGAAGGATACTGTAAAATCCCCATTCTCTTCCCATCCCACTAACCTGCTTTCCAGCTCCATTCTCCTGGGCAGGGCAACCAAAGAAGACCCAGCCAATCAGCTGGGACTCAATGGGAGGCAGAGAATAGATGGAGGTGGGGCCAGTCAGAGGTGGTATTCCAAACTACTCAAAATTTCTGCTACCAGTTCTCCGAACTACTCAAAATTTCTGCTACCGGTTCTCTGAACTACTCAAAATTTCCGCTACCGGTTCTCCGACCTACTCAAAATTTCCACTACCAGTTCTCCAGAACTGGTCAGAACCTGCTGAATACCACCTCTGGAGGTAACGTACTGCTTCATTCCAGCAAGATATTGTCCATCGGTGTGAAACAATAACGAAACCTGTTTGGAAGATTTACCATATGGTTTTTTTGGGGGTTGGAGGGCTTGACACATCTTGACTTTTTTGACTCTCTC